CTCAGCTCTCAGCTATATGCTGAGCAGCAGCAAATCATGATACTCTGATTTTGTATGGGAGCTATACCTGTATGATATCGTAATGAGCTGAGACTTTGCACAGGCTATTTTTTTCACAAAAAAATAACATTCTGAAAGATTCACGGAATTTCAATGCAAATTTGGGGTACCTACCTTACAAACATTTCATTTTTGAGCCAAAAATCAAATTTTTTGTATAGGGAGTACTCCAATTTTTAATTGAAATTTCTTCAAAGTTACTGTGATCATGTATTTTGGTAAGAAAATGAGATTCACACGTTTTCACGGTGAATAAGTAGCAACAAACATTGATTCATTGCATTTTCTTCTAGGAGGTAGACACATGTATTTGTAATCTCCGAATAGTGATGTAATCGCCGAAATTGAAATATTCTTCGTTTTACTATTTTCAAAATTACATACGCAATGTACATTGTACAATGTACATCCAAATCACATGTATCATATTTGTATTAGTAAACATGTGAGCTGTGCACTGAACACAGCACTAATTTTTAAATATTATGCCGAAAATCGACTAGTAGGCCACATTTTGCATGGATTTTGGAAATGTATTCAAGAAATGAAGTATATTCTTCAAAACTAAGTGGATTCTACATTTTAAACATGTGTCTACCCCTAGATTTTCTTGACTCGAATTTGTTTGGATTTCTTCCCAAAATGTATGCTTACAGTAACATAATCACCGTGAAAACGTGTGAATCTCATTTTCTTACCAAAATACATGATCTCAGTAACTTTGAAGAAATTTCAATTAAAAATTGGAGTACTCCCCATACAAAAAATTTGATTTTTGGCCCAAAAATGAAATGTTTGTAAGGGAGGTACCCCAAATTTGCATTGAAATTCCGTGAATATTTCAGAATGTTATTTTTTTGTGAAAAAAATAGCCTGTGCAAAGTCTCAGCCCATTACGATATCATACAGGTATAGCTCCCATACAAAATCCACATTTTTAGTGATTTTTTCAGATTTTTGTATGAAAAGTGTGTTAAAGCTTATTTGTATCGCAAAACAAATGCCAGATTCGGTTTTCTCGTGCCAAAAAAACCCCCCAATACACATTTTTATCATATAGTTTTGTCGAAAAAAATTTGTTCGAAATATGTGACGATCTGTGTCGACAGAAAATCTTCAAGGCGTTTGAGGCACGTGTTGCCGGTACAATAGAGTGCTGAAACTTTGCACATATGTTTGTGGGACCAAGTCTAACATATATAGAGTGTGCTGCGATCAAAATTCGAATTTGTGTATATTCGGGACCACCCTACTCTGTGTGTATTGATTTTCGAAAAAATCAGCGAATAATTCTGCTTTCGACGTTTCGGTGCTTGCTGTTTCATTGTTGTATTCAACAATAGCAGGAATGTCGCTTCTTTTTCTTCTGTCGTTCACAAACCGCCAAAAGTGTTTTGGATTTGATTTGATTTGCGCTTGTATACGGACGATGTACGATTTGAATAGCTGGCTTTGTAAATGGATGAACGAATCAGTGATGGTGTTGTATTCGTCGAAATTGCCAGTCTCCCTTGCTCGCTTGTATGCTTTCCTTCTGACATTTTTCATGTGCTTCAATTGTTTCGTGTACCATGGTGGATCAGTGCTACTTTGAACGGTTATCTTCGGGACAAATGAATCGATCGCCTCTTGTAGAACATTCCTAAGAGTTAGAAATGCATTCTCGAGGTCATCTATTCGATTAATTTCTGACAAAATGTCATTCCTAGCAAAGAATTCGTTCATCGAATCGAAATCGGCCGAGTTATTGCTACTAATAAAATATTTTCTTGTTTATTGAAAATGCATTTAACACATTACCTACTATGGTAGATCCAAAGTCGAAAAGTTAACATTAGGAACAATGCATCATAAAACAGTTCTTAATTAGTCTGTCTTAATGCTTTCAAAATGGCTTCTTCTTGTTGTTTTTACATTTTATTTGTTGTGGTAGAATAACTTTAAATCTTCAAAGGAAATTCTTCAAATTCAGTCGTGAACACGTCTTCGTTAAGAAAACACTTTGTGAAGTTCAAGTGAATTCAATTTTTTACTTGGTTATCACAATTTTTGGATTTTTTGTGCAGTTTGTTAATTTTTTAAGTTGTGCCCTATATTAAATTGTTGCCTTTAAATTGTCGTCGAGAATCATATCATAAGAAATTGTTCGAAAATGTCGGCCGATGATTGGATGCAAGAACTGGACAAAATGTTGACGAACATTGAACGCCAGGCGATGTCTTCGCTACGAAATATTAATAACTATTTCGAACAATCAGGTCAATCGTTCCACCAAGCACATCAGACATATTGTCTGAAGCGTTCAACTGATAGGTAATTCATCCTTGAATTTTGTATTTTATGCTCTTCATTTTATTATCATTATCTTCCTTTCTATTCTTTAGATTAAATGAAGTTTATTCCAAATTTGAATGTGAATCGTCGTTCAGTAACCGTCAAAGTAGAAGTGTCGATCCAATGTCTACCGATAATAACAACTCAAATCCAATTATTGAAATCAGCGATGATGAAGATTCGGATGAAAGGCCTAGCTCCAGTTCGAGTGAGATTAAAACCGAGGATAATCATGATGAAAGCAATGAACAAGCTTCTGTCGGGGAGATACCCAATGTGGAAACAAAAGAAGAAGAAGAAGAAGATTTGGAAAACGAAGAGATTCCGATAGTTCGTGTTCCGGCCAATCAACTGACCCGTGCATATAAGATAGAGTCAAACTGCTCCGAAGGTGTCAAAATCGAAAGTGACGAAGATCATAACAAAGAAAATATTGAAAATGAAGCGAAACGTGCACCATCGAATTCGCCGAGTATTTTAGACAAAGTTGGTGACAACAACGAAACAAATGTATGTGAACCATACGGGAAGAAATCACGAATATCTAAGGGAAAAGTTGAATCGAAAGATGCAAGCCGCGCAATCAGTTATGAAAATAACGAAAATGAGACGAACGCAGTGAACATTTCTGAATCTGTTGTTGAAGTGAATGTAGCTGGAAATGTGAGAAGTGGTCAGTCGACACTTGAAAAGTGGTTTTCTCTAAAAAATAAAAGTAATGGAAACAAAGAGAAATCCAATAGAGGAATCGCTGGTCAAACAAAGAAAAAGAAAATGGATATTCTGCGAACCCTGAAAAAGTTAGAAAAAAACTCAAAAATATCTAGTGAAGGAACAACTCACAGTGGCGAAAAAGCATATGAATGTGATCGGTGTAAGAAGCGATTTACACAAAAGAGTGATCTCACTAGGCATATGAGAACTCATAAGGATAGTCTGTTTCACTGCTCAGGGTGTCATCGTGGATTTTCACAAAATATTGAAAAAGAAGCACATGAAAGAGATTGTGAACAACGTCGATATGAGTGCTACCTTTGTAACAGAGATGAAAATAAGAAGAAGTTTGTTACTCTTGCAAAGGCTAAACTAGAAGGACATATGAGAATACACACTGGAGAAAAACCATATAAATGTGATCAGTGTAAGAAGCGATTTAATATAAAGTGTAGTCTCACTATGCATATTCGAACTCACACTGGAGAAAAACCATATCAATGTGACCGGTGTAAGAAGCAATTTAGCCAAATAGGTAATCTAAATTCGCATATGAAGACTCACCGAGATAATCTCTTTCATTGTTCAGGGTGTCATCGTGGATTTTCACAAAATATTGATAAAGGAGCACATGAAAGAGAGTGTAAACGACGTCGATATGAGTGCTACCTTTGTAACACAGATGAAAATAAGAAAAAGTTTGTTACTCTTGCAAAGGCTGCACTAGAAGGACATATGAGAATACACACTGGAGAAAAACCATATAAATGTGATCAGTGTAAGAAGCGATTTAGTTGGAAGAATAGTCTCACATCGCATATTCGAACTCACACTGGAGAAAAACCATATCAATGTGATCACTGTATGAAGAGATTTAGTCGTCAGAGTCATCGCAATCTGCATATGAGAACTCATAAGGATAGTCTGTTTCACTGCTCAGGTTGTTACCGTGGATTTACACAAAATATTGAAAAAGAAGCACATGAAAGAGAGTGTAAACGACGTCGATATGAGTGCTACCTTTGCAACAGGGATGAAAATAAGAAGAAGTTTGTTACTCTTACAAAGAATGCAATAGAAGAACATATGAGAATACACACTGGAGAAAAACCATATCAATGTGATCACTGTAAGAAGCGATTTAGTCAAAAGTGTAGTCTCACTACGCATATTCGAACTCACACTGGAGTAAAACCACATCAATGTGACCAATGTAAGAAGCGATTTAATGGAAGTGGCGATCTCACTAGGCATATTCGAACTCACACTGGAGAAAAACCATATAAATGTGGTCGCTGTAAGAAGCGATTTAGCCAAACAGGTAATCTCAAAGCGCATATTAAGACTCATAGGGAATAAGGATAGTTCTATTGTTCATGGTATCTATGTAGATTTCAAAATAACGAAAAGAAGCATATGAAAAGGGAGTGTAAAAAACCTCAGTATGATAGTAAAACACCTCAGTACCACCTATTCAACAGGGATGAAAATAAGAAAAAGTATGTTACTGTTTCAAAGATAGCACTAGAACGTCATATGAGAATACACGCTGGAGAAAAACCATAGTGTTTGCTGATTAAATGCTTTTCAATAAAGAGACTCAGTTCAAAGGTAAGTCCTAACAAACATACGTTAAATATAATATAAAAGCATCAATTTTCGTTAAAATAGTATCGAATAGAAACAAAGAAGACCAATAGTAGACTTGTATCAAGGTGGTAGTGAAAATACTACTAGTTTTCAAAATAGCTAGTTGTGTTTTCATATATTCGTTGTTGTATTCGAATCTGTGTTTCTACCCAAACGCACGCAACTAAAACAGAGATATTGACACTCAATATTCGGCGCACCAGGGTGAAATTATATTGGTATTGGTCAATCGATTTGACGTATCGAATGTCAAGTACGCTGTTGTGTCCGCGTGAATACGGCGTTGTTTGTATGAAAACACTAATAGATATTTTGTAAACTAGAAGTATTTTATCAATTCACTAACACATCAAAAGAATTCTACTATTGGTCTTCTTTGTGTGTAGCATTGAAATAAACCTATGTGCATTTAATTCATTATTTCCAAAAATTAGCAATATTTCTCTAAAAGTAAAAAAATCAATAAAAATGATCCAAATATACAAATATATCTAGTTTGTTTTGTTTTTTTTTTTCAGGCATATTCATTATTTTCTTACTTTTCCACACTAGAAAAACACCTGCATTAGGCCAAAAAAAAAATCACCCGAAAAATATGTTTCATATATAGTTTATAAATATTTCCAGAATTTCAGTAACCTTGTGGAAAAGATAGCGAATGTAAATTTTCTTTTTTTTTTTCATATGTTTGCTCATTGGAAAGTATTGTTTGTGGAATTTTCCCAATTGCTTTCTTCACATTTCAAGCACGTCAATTTGAGAATTTATTTTCTACTACTATCGCCAAAATTTTTCAAAAATTCAAGGTTGAGACGAAATCTAGTGAACCCCTATTGAATTACTTCAAGAGATGCGTCAATATGAATAATATCGCCAATAAATTAAATGTAGTTTGTTTGTTTGCTCCTATTTTGAGCTAAGTCTATTTCACAAAGCAAAGATACTGAAAGTTTGAAGCCAAAATGTTGGTAGCCAAAAGTGGTGTATTCAATTTGTCGTCTTAAGAAGAATAAAAGCACAAATAAAATGAGTCAAAGCCATGAAATTACTTCAACGAAAATAATGGCCAAATGTAAAGTCTGTTTATTCCCTCCTAATGGCTGAAGTTTTTTTTATTGAAAATTCCAATTTCCCTATGTGTAAAATACAGATAAAAATCAATGATTATATTTTAGTATCCCACAAAAAACTGTTGCAATCAAAACGATTTTTATTTGGATCAAATCACAGTGCTATTGAAAATATCGAGAAGAGAGTATGTCATTTTTGAGCTGAAAATATTTCAAAACTAGAGTATGTCTTTTGTCGACTGTGTTAATAGCAAAAGGGGAGTAAGTCGCATCACATTTAAAAATTCATAAAAGAGAGTATGTAGTTTGAGGTATTTAGTCTGACTTAAAAGAGAGTAAGTTTGTTGGTCATATGAATTTAGCAAAAGGGGAGTTTGTAATTTTACTGAATTTGTTCACAATAAAAGAGAGTTAGTATTTGTCAACTCACATTTGAAAAAAAAGTATGAAAGTAGTTAAATTAATTAATATTTTTAGATGAAAATATCATTCGCATGTAATAGGCGCGCAGAAGCAGCTACACAGTTGCGTGAGTCAAAATACACATAAACGAACAAATCACAATAGCAACTGCCGTAAGTGTGTGACTTATCAAGCGCACAGATCATGTTCATTCGTTTTTGATACGTATGGTTGTTTATGTGCGCCTGTGATGACAACACAGACTCCGTTCGCTTCACTCACCCGTTGCCCTTTACGTGCTGTTGTGAAATAGGATTGTGTATTTATAAACAAAGAGATTTAATGTTGCTGATTCTGCGCGCCTGTTACATTGGGATCGAAAAATGTTAAATATATTAACTATTTTCCCACATACTCACTTTTATTTCAACCAGAATAATTCAATAATATACTCTCTTTTATTTCCAACCCATTTAGCCAAATCACATACACTCCTTTTCGTAAATTTAAATGAAAAAAACTTACTCCCTTTTATGACAGACTAAAGTGCTCGAAATACGTGCTTCCCTTTAACCATTTTTACCATGAAAAAACATGCTCTCGTTTATCGTACTACAACTCCGAAAAACATACTCTCCTATCGATATTTTCGATAGAGTGAAGAGTGTGGTTTATTTATATATATATAAAGATGTAATTGTCATTTCAAACGTCCATATCTTCATTCATTTCTATGTTCGAGCATAATGTGGGACAGGGATAAAGTGTATTGATTATATGTAAACATTTTTCTGTGTCATTTCTCTGACATTTAAAGTGATGCTTTGAGTGTAAAATGTGTTTGTATGTTATGTCAATCAATCGACACTTGTCGAAAATGTGTAAAGCTTGAATTTGAAATGTATGAGTTAAACTGATTTAAGGGCGATGTAATTGTTTGAGTCGATACATACTTGACAGGCAAAACCCTTTCGACAACTTATCCACCCCTCCACCTCTCTCTCCCTTCTATTCTTCCTCCATAGCTGTCTCCCTCGTTCTCACTTTCCCTAACCGACTTTCTCTATCTCACTCTCTGTCTTTGGCCCGCTTTTCTCTCGCTCTGAACGGATTCCTGTTGTTTCTTTGTGTACTTAACATCTTTGTATCATCGTAAATTGATTTGTTTTGATTTAGAAGTGACAATGCAATGACGTCAATGTCAAGATTGATGCAGGTGTGTGTTTGTCATAACCTTTTGCATTGTTCTAATAAACTTAAAAGATTTGCGAAGCAAAAAAATAAACGTCGGACGTGACATAAATCGACACAAACACGATTAAATGGTCGTAAAACGGTAAGTTTGAATTTACATTGAGAAGAAATATGAGGCGTTGTTCAACAATAAAATCCATAGCAAAGCGATGAAAAGTAAGGAGGAGAATGACGAGAGTCCAATAACAAAAGCAATTTGAAATCCAAGCACTTGAATAATGGATCGGCTTCCAACAAGCAAAATGTTATGACCGTATTTGATATCAAATATCACATCAAATTTAAATGGATTATGTTCAAATTTATTTGAAATATAGTCGACTCTATAGGTACTTGGTCGTTTTCATTTCCATATATGCAATTTTGTGCACGTCTTCAGTCCACTTTGGCATCCAATTAACCTTTTATTACAACGCCCATAACCTTGTTTGAACTTTCTTTTGTTGTTTTGGTCGATGTCTTAGTTTCTATCTATAGCCAGCTCCCTTTCTCTCTCTCTCTCTCTCTCTCTCTCTCTCTCTCTCTCTTTCTCGCTCGCTCACTCACATACACACAGGTGCGTTTCAGAGCTGCAGAATGGAGAAGAGATAAAACAAAGGCAGCATATTAAAAAATTTCTGTTCATTAAATGCTTCTCGTTTATTCTCAATCGTTTTCTCTCTCACCAAGAAGACACCAAGTGTTCCAACAAACTCTCGTGTATTTAATGCGCAAAATTTTATCTCCTCTCCACTCAAGCTCGAAAAAGCAAGTCATTTCAAAAGTCATTAAACAATGTGTTGTTGCCATTCTTTGTACCGTTGCTCATCGGCATGGCACTGAAGGGATGAAAGAGAGAATTTTCCCAATGATAGAGAAAAAGAGAAGAAGAGTGGGCTGCTTTTAAGTATTCTCCATAACTCGATGACTGAAATTCGTTGCATACTCACACACTCTCTCTCTCTCTCTCTCTCTCACACACACACACACACACACACGTATACACAACATAATATAATATCATGTGAATTGCGCTTGGAAAATGTAAAGATCGATTATTTAAAAGCATTTAGCTGCAGTCGGTGCTTGATTCCAATGATTATTATCGATATTGTTATTGTCTGCTCCATTGCTCCCCGAATGTGGATGTTGGTGTTGTGCATGTTGATTGGATTTTTCATGCTTGGCGTTGGTAATCAAATTACTCAAACGAGCAGCTAAATGCTTTTTTGTTTTGTCCATTTTCTTTGTAATTTGATGTGCCTCCTCGTACCATCACACTCCCCACTGCATTATTCATGCGGTTGTTATCGAATATACTTGTTGTATGACGAATGTACAAGTTATGTTCATGCAAGTGTCCAGCATACTCTCTCTCTGTCACTTCCATAAAAACCCGTTTTGTCGAACATTAAATATTTAACGATAATTGCTGTTTGTATGCGATTGTGTCAACAGCTCACTCTCGAAACAACTGTTGATTTCCGTGCACTTTATTTCCCAAAGCTTCAAAGAAAATATTGAGCACAGAGGGGGGAATGAAACGGCTTCCGTGTGGAAATTATTGATTTGGTTAGTGACATTTCAATTACTTGCTTATTCGTCGATTAACAGCAGTCAAAGCGGGCACGTTTCTGTTTTGGTGGATATATAGGAAAAAAAAATTAATTTATTTATAAAATGGATTTTGAGCTTTGACTGAGGGATTTCCGAACCGAATAATTCGAAACACATACAGCACGCTCTTTGAATAATGATTGGATGCTGCGATGGCCTCTTTACATTATTTATGGATCAATCGAACTGTTTACGATGGACTACATTGGCATAGGATTTTTTAGACATAGGATAGGTGTATCGAATACAAATACAGCCCAATTGAATTAACAGCATTTGATTTCATGTTTTAGTTGGATTTTTTCCCTCAATTTTTAAACGAATTATTCACATTTTTCGATGTTACAAATGTATATCTCTTTTTTAGGGGAACAACATTATTTGAATGGCTGAAATTGGGTTTTATATCACAAAAATATTCGGTATTTACTGCTTTATGATGCTTTATCGCTTTTTTTACAAGATAAAAATAGAATGTGATGCAGATTAGAATTTAAAATGTTTCACAAAGAAATGACTTTGTATTTTTTTCGTGATTGATAAAACATGTTTGTATCTTTTTTTTACTTCGCTTTGTTTCTTTTTGCGCTTTATCGATATCGACCTTTTCAATACCTCTCACCCTGTCGCTTTATCTTTCGCTCTTTCTCTCCTATTCTATCATCTATTTCTCTCATCATCACTTAGAGAAGGGGGCCAAAGAGAGAAAGATGAAGAGAGAGGAAGAGAAAGAGAAGGAAGAGAAGAAGAAAAAAAAGAGATATAGAGATGTAGACAGTGAAATAGAGGAGTGAAAAACGGTATATCTCATTGAAAGCGAGTGATTTTCTCTATTTTTAATTCATCCAAGTGAAAATCAATCACATTTTTCCTAGATTTCCACTGACGACTCGATTTAAACTTTTAAAAATCATTATTCACCGTCGTTGCATGAATCCATACATCACAATCATGTACATTTCGATGAATAAAATTGATTATGCTTGTGTTGTACGATGATAAATGATGTGTATGTATGTCTGTTGTGCGAATAATTGTAGTTTATTTTTGCGTGTGCAACGGAACCTTGTTGATTGTTGAAACAACTTGTCATTTTCATTGGTATGAAAATTAGTAATTGCATGTTTTAAATTTTGATAGATTGTTGTACCTTATTTTCCTATAAAAAACCGTATTATAAAAAATATGCACGGCAACAAATTCATTTTCAAGTGCACCAGTGCATATTGGTTGTGTTGCAGCGTTGTGGTCTGGTGCGTTAGTTTTAAATCACTTTAACACAAACTTTTCCATGTATTTTTTTCGAATAAGAAAAATCCACTTGTTTCACTACACTTTTTTCATAAATATGGAAAAAGTTTTCCATGGTGAGCGCGCGTACATATAGTCCAACATTAAATGAAAAGCAAACGAGGAATTTTGTGCTTTTTTCTCAATCAACATTCTCTTCTTCACTCTCTCCTGTTATTCAAAAGCGCAACATTCCCCAGCAACTTCGGCAAAATAGTAAAATTCATAATAAATTTGTTTTGTGTGCAAACGCACGTAAAAAATAAATAAATAATATGTTAAAACTGTTACTTACTTCGCTTGAATTAACGTGAAAAACTCGAGAGTCGCTGCAAACCAGCTACCAAAACTACTAGTAAATATTGCGCACAAAAAACTTTTCCACTTAAATTTCATTGATGATTTCATTCTTCTTGTCCCATCGTTTCTCTTTTGCCGTGTTCTTTTTTCGTTCCGATTGCAAGCTGTAAGAAAGAAACAAAGCACACAAAGTCTCATATAATTTTTTTGTTTGCACATTTTTGTTTAGATATTCTTTTGTCCCATTTCACAGTAGTTTGAGTTTAACAATATATTGTTACGCACATTTATGGATGTGATTTACGTGGGATATGCATACATGGAATATGCATCTGAGGCGAACCAACATTTCTACTTTATTTGATATGGAAGAAAAACGAAACTTTTCATTTTTTATTAAAATTGAGATTTTCCCCCAAATTCACACCGATTTCACATACAAATACATATGTGTGATACAAAGTAATTCCAATTTTATGGATACAAAGTAATGGAAACTTCATTTCGAAACAATTTTACTGAATTTTTATAATACATTTAATTTTTGTTCTACATTTTGTTTCATTTCGCAGCATTTAAAAAAAAAAATCGTCTTAAATGTGTACTGTTTTCTCAGTTTTGAAAGCAGATTGTGTTTGGTTCATCCTGGTAATACTTTTAGACTTTCAGTATCTACTCATTTAAGGAAGAGTGACATTAATTTCAATTTTTATGAAGAGGTTCCAACGAACTGACAAAGGGTTCTCTTACATATGTTGGGTTGTTCTCTTATGTAAGGTGTTAGCAAAAAACTAAAACAAACACGTTTCCAGTTGAAAATCAAGTTTATCCCGCGGAAAAGCGCTTTATCTTAAGATAATTACAAAAAGGAGCGTGAATTTTTCGCCCAGAAAGATAGTAACATAGAGTGATGTGTGAGAATGAGAAAACTGTGGCGAATAGAATAAGATAAATAAGTGAAATTTATCGAACGTTGTAGATTAGGCATGAACCTCTATAAATTCCAATCAGAATTTATGCGGTTCAGACATTAACTTAGTTTGTTTCATAATACATAGTATATGAGTGTAAGTTTCGCCTAAAAAACCCACAAAATAATTAAATCCGCCTTTTGTCGATCCAATTTACCGCTGATTGTGTAGATCTCATGTCTGGTTCAAAATGTTTTAAATGCGAGTGTGTATGAACGTATCAATGTCGTTGGTAATTATACAAGAATCATTGCAGATTTTTTGTCTTATTGAAGTATAAGACGATAATGCTATTTTCCTTCACATTTAACAAATTCACAAACTGTCCGAAAAGCGAAAAAATATTGATAAAAAGCATAAAAAACTTTCGTTTTTTTCTTCATATAATAAAAGTTAGTAGTGAGATTCCAGAATTAATGCCATGCATCGTGGCACTCAGATGAAAAAGAGACAGACACACAAAGCGGAAACGTTGTACAAATGAAACTCTTAATGATAGTCATAAAAAAAGTTTGCTAAAGACAGAAGAATGAACGAGTGGCGTTTTCAGCCTTCAAAGACGGTGTAATTTAATTTGAAATGAAATAAAATGTTTGGATTATATGGATAGTTTTGTGAACTTATTTGCATGACTGTTTCCCGTAAAGTAAGCTTCATTTAGAATCATTTCTTTTATTATATGTGCATTGTGGAAACACACTTGAAATAAGAATAATAAAAAAGTACCTATTCATGGTGGACAAAAATGTGCACAGAATTTACGATTGAAGCGTCGAAAGAACGAAAAGAAATGATTCTTGAAAACAACACCTAATAATGGAGCTTCAAGTAATTAAACTATATAGAATTTTTGCCCATTTATTTGCGCAAATAAGAAGCACTGTGACTGATTGTGTCAACTTTTGTTTCCATCTCAAAAACGGGATTGTTTTTTTTGTGAATTTACGAGGAAAAAATTGTTAGATTATTATTTCGTGACGAGTAAACGGGCAATTTAACTTTGAATCTCAACTTTTACTTTTATAGTTATGGACGTTGAGATATAGTTAAATAACGGCTATCGAATCCTTGAAACTTTTTTAAAGCATATTTTGTATGAGAATGAACATGTACCTTCTGACCAGTGACTCATCGGGGGTGTAAGGGGTCTGACCTTATACGATTACCATACATGATTTGCTAGGGTTTTACGATTGGTGGATGGGCCTTGCCTTAACTTACCGACCTTTACCTAAAGGTATGGATTTGAAACCACCCCTTCGCAAGTTTAGATTAAAAACATGAAAATGAGGAAGAGCGGGGGAAAAGGAGCGGGAGAGATTCAAATATATTTGCACCCTGACGCATCGAATTTCGGTCAGTTGAAAACACCAGTTAATTATGGACCGCCAAAAGTATTTGAATTAATTTTATATAATTCCGAAATGTTTCGAATCAAAATTTCCATAAAGAACGTTATTGTTCTGAAAAATGGTTCGCCAGAAATGTGCCTCCATAGAAAAATGCACGTAATTGATACGTTCCATATAAAAATGCACATTACCCTTGATAAATCATTCACATTTCCATATATGCAAAATGTAAGCGTCCATTTTCTTTGAATGTGTCGTGACAAAAACATTTGTCGTGAACGAAATGTTTAAATTATGAAGATTAATATTGGACATTAGAAAATTGACTGCAGCATTTCGTCCATATGAACAATGAATGTTCCATATATGTTCAATGAATAAATCAGTTTTTTTCAATGTTATGACAGTTATGGCATATGAATGGTTGAGTCCACTTTTCGGCCACATGGGTGAATTGAACCGATGGACATGAGCCAAAAATTCATATTTTTATTTTCAGTTGGCAAACGATGCATTAACAGAGTCTTAAAATAACGGTCTGTTTGAAAGATAGTTCATTGAAATTGGGATCGAATGTGCAACGCTAGAATAAACCATACTGTAAATACATCCGTCGAATGATGAACGAATTTTTTTTACATTCATCGAAGAATGGTCATCGAAAAACTTGCTTGCCTTAACTTTTTTCTTTGTAAACAAGTAAGAAAAAAACAACAACAACAATGTAGGAAAAACGTCCGTAATTTAGGCGTATGGAACGGGATACACAGTGTAAGCACGTGATATGCGCATTGCGCAAACTCACCATTTATTCAGCACATCGGTTGCCCCATGTTCGAAAACGCTTCGAACACCGTACAGTTGTTGCTCGCACACGCGATATGTTTTGAAATTGGAGCTAAATGTACGCACTGTTACGATGGAAAACGCATCCATCCAGCGACAAATGTCTGGAAATGCGTGCGTTGTAGCTGCGATTTGCACGAAAGTAGAAGAAGAAGAAAAAATAACGTATGGGCCTTTTGGTGAGACTGTCCTAATTTCCCATGGTTTGTTCAGTTACTCTATGGCCGGTGAAACGTGCAGACGTCTCTCGCTCTCATTCGACAAAAAATTGAAGGCACATCACATTTCGTGTGTGGCATTTGATAGAAGTAGATTGAGATAGATTCAGTGAACTGGTAAATTCACACATCAATACACACCTCGAGTGGTATGTTTATCTTGACCTGGTACAAAATCGCTTCAGGTTGATAAAACCGACCAAAAATTATACATTCCAAAAAATAAACAGACACACACACACATTGAGTGGACAGTTGATAAATAAAAAAGAAACTATATGAATAGATGCGAACGACGCCAATGGGCCAAATGCACAAAACAAACTAGCCAAATGTATTTGTTTGGTCGTTTGCATTTGGATTTGGTGCTGAAGTGAATTTTTATGAGTGTTTTTTTTCGGCATTTTTGTTTCGATGCTACGGCACAAATGACATAATTCAAAAGCCGAATACGAAACCAAATGGCATTTCAGCCCCTTTCAAAACGAAGAAATGATTACATTATTTTTTGGATAAAAATGCGTTAAGTGTTCCAATGACTTTAGCCTTTTTCTCTCTCTCTCATTCTAGTGTGCTTCAATTTTGTTGTGTATTGTAGAGAGTTGTTATATATCCATCATGCGAATAGATATCAATATCCGACGTTCCAAGTGAATGTGTTTTATATATATTTGTGAATGCGTTGAGAGTGTATCTTTCATTTAGTCACCAATTGATGGTGATATATACAAAAAAAGCGCCCATTTTGTGACACAAACAAGAACAAGCCAAACTTTTGCACAAAAAGGAAAAAAAACTGCCAAACTATATAAATAAATTATGATAAAGACGCATGAATGTGCTACTAAATGACGAGCGAAAGAAAGAAAATGATAGAAAAAACAGTGCACCATCATCGTTGAATATTATCAAAAGTTGTGAGAAAAAACAAATTCACAAAGTCGACGAAGAAAAAAGGGAAAATTGTTTTTTTTTTCTTCGCTTCTCATGAGCAAGACTTTTGACAAAGTGAGAGAGACAAATATATAAAAAATATTAGTTCGATATATTCGAAGCGATTTACGAATTGATTGATCGATTCTCGTATTAGTTGTGACATCTTTTTGCTTGTCTTTTTCGCACAGACTAGATACTATTTTGGCTGACGCCACCAGCAGCCCACTTTTTTAATGTATGCTTGTGACACAAATTTAATCCGATTTATGCAATTTGCCAACGCGATTTTTTCTCACTTACACCATTTCAAACCTTGAACAAAACAAACAAAAATTGACAAACCTCGAAAAACTCAAAAAACTCGAACAAAAAAAGCTGAAAAAGGGAAGCTTTTAAATATATGAGTGTGACATTGTTTTCCGTACGCAAACACAAAAAATTATTTGTGTTTGGGGTTAAAAACACGTACCACATTGATTGATTGTCGTTCCGACGAATTTCGAGTGGATGTCATTTAATGACAAATGAATAACAATCGAAATACGAGCGCTAGAGTTGAAAAATTCGGTATTTGTGTGCAGTGAAATCGATTTAATATAATAGTGAACAGGTTGAAAATTTTACGGCAATCGATTTTTTTTCATATTGAGCGAAAATAACCAACGTTTTGACATTGAATTCCATAAATAACTCAAATGCTCGGGCGATAAAAAAGAACAATTCCATTGCAAAAACAAAAGAATCGACAGACTTGCTGAAAAAAAAACAAGACTAAGTTGGAAGAGAGACACAGAGTGGGTAAAGTGACTTTGAAACAACAGTGAACGAACACAAAAACCTGAACAAATTGACAAAAATGTGCAATACATTGTGCGGCGGTTAATTCAATTGTGGTTGGATTATAAATAATAGTAACAAATTTAGCTAGAGACACGGGGTAAGTCAACCCCCCCTGATGTCAAACAATGAAAAAAGATTCATAACATACAACACCATCTCTTGGTATGCCACATATCTGTTTTTTTCTCCACAATGTGGAGAAAGTGTTTACGTATACGTATACGTTGACATTAATAATCTGTCAAAACCGTAAACACATTATTTTCATAACGCAATTTTGCGAGAGTTCCTATTAGTTGAAAAAAATTAAATTTTTGTGTGCAAACTGTAAGTTATTTTGTGACATACTAGCTATTACATATCGGTTGCCTTATAAAGCACAAAGATCAAATCATTGCTTAGAAAAACGCATCTTTACGTAACATATTAATTTATTGTTTATTATTTCATTCTATAGAAGACATGCCGCGATCATATCGCTTAATGTGCGACAGTCGCCTGGATTCTTATATTTTGCGAAAAGATTGTGAATCATTTGAAAACGTTTTTTCTCTCATTGAAGGCGACTACATGCCGGCCAATTATGTTCATCGTACAAAGCAACGCACCGTGTTGGGAATTGCTGCGGAAAATGGTTCACTGAATATGATGTTAAAGCTTTTGGCTTTTGGTGAAAGTGCGACCTTTAAAGATCCATTTGGTAAAAGCGCAATTGATTATGCGAAAGAAAATAAACAAGAGGAATGTTGTGAGGGTTGTGAGCTCTTAATGTGTTATGAACGTGTGACATCCACCACAACATGGAAAAATTACGTGGAAATTGGAAGAGCGTATCGATCAACACAAGGCACACAAAATATTATTGATCACAACTTACTTTTTCATGTCATTGATCATATCCATGAAAATACGTCAAAAAATGGCGCAAATGTACATTATAACTAAGGCAATTTGTGTAATTTTCTTATTATATCGCATTCATTGCGCAGAAAATGAAACGAAACTATTACTATTGACTAATAATAAATGAATGATCGGTATTAAAATTATGGTAAATATAAAAAATAAGTTGGAACGATAATATGAATTTTTTTTGTATCAATAACGAACAAATTGGCATAAAAGTTCTTCCAATTTTGGTAACAAACTTTCAGCTTCCGATGGTAAAACTGAAATATTTTTCAGAACAAAGTTGCCGTTCTTTCGTTTTTGTTTTTGTTCAAATACCACAAGTCCAGG